CCCCAAAACCCCAAAACCCCAAAACCCCAAAACCCCTTCGAAATCATAACACATTGAAATTCAATAAATTACACATTTTTACAACATTGTCCTTACATCAGTTAAACCTCCTTCTAAAAAAGAAGCTAAATAAACCTTTCTTCCATAAATTCCCCTAAAATTATGAACAAGCCCAAACTTCCTAACACAATAATAACTGCTCTCCCACCCAATGGTCACTCAAAATCCCCTCTTACTCACCCCCTCCCTTCTAAATCTCCCAGTCCCCTCCAGCCCCCCTCTTCCTCCTATCCCCCTTCAAAAGGCCCCTAAACATCCTCCCCTCTGCACCCACTTCCTTCCTAAACCACCTCCTCCCGGCCTAGTCCTGATCCTGTACAAGACAGCGTGTCCTTTGACTAGTGAAGTTACGTATAGTTTTACACAGAGAACGGAGGCTGAACACCTGCTTGTTAAGAAATAAAGTGAGGTATGAGAATAGGGGTGGCTGAGAGGGGTTGTATGCAAGAAAGATTTTGAATTGGCTCCTGAGCTGTCAATTTTTGAGATTAAGGCTTAATCAGCAGAGTTTAAAAAGAATGAGCTTTGATTTGACAGATGATATTGATGTTGAATGGAGCAAGAATTTGCTCAAAGGGAATATTGAAAGATTTGTGGCAAAATTTGAAGGAGCAGCAAAGAAGGTAAATAAAGGTAAATAGTTATTTGATTGTTATTTAGTAATCCAAAAGCAAACTTATATAAATCCTAATGAAAAAGAAATAAAAAACTTGATATTAAAGCTGGCATTGGAAAATTATATGAAAGATATTGGTAAAATAGGTCAAAATGTAAAAATGTTATCTCTTGTTTTACCACAAGCGCCAGAATGCAGTGAGGAATCAAGCGAAGATGAAATAACATTTAATCCAAAGAAAACTAATAAGTTCTTTGTACCCAAGCAAAGTAATCATTAATTTGATACAAATTCTAGAAGCGTCAATATAGTAACATTATAAATTTTACAGTTAGATTTTAAGTAATAAGTACCTTAGATTGGCTGACATATTTTAATCTGAAGCCCACAAATAATTTTTATCCATACGATAAAGAAAAGTTAAAATAGCTTAAGCTTGAAGTACTTTGTTAGTAAGAATACTTTTTGTGAGAATCCACTCTTTATTGTTATTTTAAACTCATAAGCACAGAGATTCATCAGTATTGCCGATAATTTTTACGATGATTGTTGTTGAAGTAATGCTTGCATTGAAAAGCATAGTTGATAATAATTAGCATTTGAGGAGGTGATATTTGTATTAATGCTCAATATATCTACGTTTAAAAGGGGTTTTGGGGTTTTGGGGTTTTGGGGG